TTTCACACGTTGGAATTATGTGGGGACTTCTAAAAGATACTGATACCTGAGATCCAGCCCCAGGAAGTTTAATTTAATTGGTCTGGGTTGTGCTCTGAAAATTGGGATTTTCAGAAGTGTTATAGGTGCTTCTAACAAGTAGCGGAGGTTGAGAACCTCTGGGCCGTAAGATGAAAACCTCTGTTTTCATCTCTTGTCTAACATTACCCCAGGCACAGCACCACGTGCCTGCTTCAAGAAGTTTATATAAACATTTACTACCCACTATTCAGAACAGCCAGTGCCTCACCAAAGACAACTTTTTCACCAATTATTTCTTCCTGTGAGTCACCCCCACAAAGAAAATCGATTGCCAACAAAGACCCAGTTTTTCTCACTGAGATGTACGGCTGCCAAGATCTGTGATCTTGGGTGGAGGAAAAGCCTGTTTTATTTTCAATAACCTCTAACTCAAATTTAGTATTTCCTTCAATTATGACTACAGGCAACACAGTACTATTAGCAGTACAAATCCCAGATATTTTCCTATCATAACATAAATACCTCCAAATACCATTTATCCTCATTGGTGCTTTGAAATCATGGAAATTATTAGACCTACCGCTAGATGTTGCTATTTAATGTGCTGACAAAGAAGCACATGTACTATTATGATGCAAACAAATGTCTTCCTTAACGTTTTGGTGATTGATTGTATTTCAATATATTTGATTTACTAGAATTTAATTTGTGCAATGAAAATTATAATTCTGAGAAGGGGTCTACAGGCTTCCAATTGCTCGACCGGCCATGAGGCCTCTGTGTGTCTGGCATTAGGGGCAGGCAGAGGTTTTCCAGTGGTGGTGGGCAACTGTGCATGGAGCAAACGACTCTTACCTGTGGGTCCGAGAGCCGGGAGAGGTCGGGGTACAGGTAGAACTTGATGCCTTCAGATGCCCCAGGCAACGTGACCCCTCGGATCAGGAGGATCAGAAGCATGACATAGGGAAATGTCGCTGTGACGTATACCACCTGCCCAGGAGAGGAGACACAAGAATCAAGAAGGGGTAACGGAGGTGGGCAACAGGGCAGGCCCCTATCACCTCACTGAGAGCAAAGGGCTTCCCAGAGCAGCCATGAGAAGTGAACCCCGAACACAGACTAGTCTCTCGCCTCCTCTCTCACCACCATCCCCATAAGGGCTGGATCTTTCGGCAAGTATCTATTGAGTGCCTACAATGGTATTTGATATCACTGATTTTCAAATATTTTTTACCACAACCCTGTACATACTGAGCCGAAACAGGGAATTTCACAAAATCAGTCATGCTTACATATGGGATACACTCAGCATTTTCTATCATACTCTATTTCATTTACATATCATACTCTATTTTGTTTTTTGGGTTTTTTTTTTAAAGAGCTGGTCATGACCCTCTAAATTTGCATCATAATTCACCAACGGGCCAAGATCCACATTTTTAAAAAAACACTGCCCTTAATGAAAATCAAGTTTTCATAGCCATGGATAAGACAGGACAGGATATGATAGAAAAGGGAAGGGAGAGCTGTGTGGGGCAGGAAAGACCCGGTGTTTTGCCTGGAATCTTTTCAGTCTGGTCTGCTTGGAGGCAGGTAACTGGGGCTAGTGAACCTGACAGGCCCCTTCAGCCCATGGATTCACAGTTAGAACAAAGACAGTGAAAGGAACAAAATCTTCCCTGATTCTTCACAAAGAGGTGCTTAGAAAGACAGGGCAATACCTTCACAGACCACTGGGGTTCCTGTCCTGGGGGCCATGCCCCCAACCTGAGGTCCCTGCAGGACGCAGCGTCCCCTCCAGTTCCCCTTTTGTTCTCCTTTGTGGCAATCTCTCCTCCCAATCCCTTGGTTCCTTCATCTAGGTGGGACCTGCCTGTTGTATCTGTTTAGATCAGCAACTTGCCAACATCTGGGGGGCCACAGACACTTCTGAGACTCAGACAACAGCTATGGCCCTTCTCCCCCTTCCCCCAAGAATGCAAAGACACAGATATGTGTATAAGCTTTTGGATGGTTCAGAGACTCCAATTCCCCAGATAAAAAAAAAAACCTGTGCTCTAAGACCTACAATCTTAATTCCTCCAATGTTACTGTAGCCTTTCACCCCTTTCCAACCTAGGCTTTCTTTTACCAGTGGTACAGCCCTTCACGCCATTCATTCATTTATTCATTTACTCACTGGTCTACCTACTCCTATGAGAAACACACTCCTATGTACCAAACACTGAGCTGAACCCTGGAACGTACAAATAAGAATGAGTCACAGGATGGACTTCAAGAGGCTTCCCCACTGGCAGGAAGACAGTCATATAAGTAGGCAGATAATGCCTTATGTCATCAGGGGAGTGGGAAGGGGGATAGAGCACAGAGAAGAGAGTAGCTAAACAGAGGGGCCATCAGGGAGGGCTTCTCCGAGGAGGTGGTCCAGGTGTTGGCCTGTAAAAGATGAGGAAGAATTCAGGATGTGGGAAATGGGGACAGAGGAAGAAGAAAATAAAATCCTATTAGATGCCAGGCACTGTATATATAACAAAAGAAATGGCTACATTTATACAGCATTCCGTCTTAAATTTTTTCTTTTGTTACTCGCTTTATTTTCATACAAATTAACGCCCTAGGAAAAGCGAAATAGAAACACTATAGTATTGCACATAACAATCTTTGGCTTAAATGCCCTATTATTTCATTGAAGAACGGTTAAGATACACATCTGAGGGACTGAAGGGATAGAAAGTTTACAAAACAACCCTCTACTATTGTTTTGCATGTAAGCTACTAACTAAAAACTAAGAGGCTATACTTTATACAAATTCAAACATAATCATTTGGTTGGTAAGTGACAGAACAGCAATTTGAATCCAGTCCTCAAAAATAAGAAATAAGAGGGCCGGCCGAGTGGCGCGATGGTTAAGAACTGGTTTGGGACGCCAGAGGACCCTGGTTCGGATCCCACATATAAGGGCCAGTGACACTGCCCTCCACAGCTAAGATGCTGAACAACAGCTCAACCTGGAGCTGGGCTGCCGTGAGTTGCCGGCGACNTCCATGTCCCGAGACTATATGTATATATAATTAGGTAGGGTTTTAAACCAGGGTCTTGTTTTTCCCCGATTTGTCCTCCTGTGGGGTGGGGAAGTTGGGGAGGTTTGGTGTTCTGAGGTCCTCTCACTGCTTGGGCAGCCTTCTACCCCATCCTCATTTGGACGTCTTAGTTGCAGGCTCCAGTTCCCTCCATAGAGGAGGCCGACTTGGGGAACGTGTACACACCCTGGGAAAGCAGACCCCGCAATCTGGATCTGTGACAGGCCTTTCTGTTCTTGCCCTGAAAACACACACTCGAAACACAATGACGAGTGAGACTGGCAGGAATCTGGGGCAGGGAAAATGTGATTTCCTGCAAGAGCCCCCTCCACTCTCCAAAGACTGAAAAGATAGAAAATAAAAATTTGAGGGGAAAAACAAAAATCGAGTGGAAGCACTTCACACTTCAGAGAGAACACAGGGCTGTCAGTGAAGACAAATAGATGTTTAGAAAGTCATAACAGACCACGGAATGCAAGTTGCCAGGGGACAAAGAAGGCCAGCTGCTGTGTCGTTTCAAGTTCTTGACGAGAAACTTAATTTACTGGATCCACAATAAAGGCACTCGGTCCCGAGTTCAAAGCCTCCTCCTCGGGCTGTGGGGCCCTGACTTGTCCTGCCCAGCGCCAGTGACATGGAGGCGAAATGAGGAACACCACTGGTGTTCCTGGAGCCCTAACTGTGTGCCAGGACCTGGGCTGGGCACCAAAAATGAGGACTAGGAGAGCTTTCACATTCACGCACACACTCGCTGCCTAGCTGCCCTGTGCGGTAGGTATTCTTAACCCCACGGTCAGGTGAGCCCTGAGCCCAGAGAGATACAGGGACAGGCTGAAGGCCACCTGACTGGTCAAGGGCAGTGGAGTGACTCACATTTCCTTCTCTCAACACCAGATTCCACAGCACCCCAAACCCCTCTCTCCAGAGAGCAAACTGACAACCACAGTGTATGCTATGTCACCGTAAAGTCACCCAGGCTCTGCCAAAAACTGTCCTTTATTCATTAGTTCAAAAAATATTTACTGAGCTCTGTTGGCAGGCACAGTCCCAGGGGCTGGAGATCTAAGAGCGAATGTAACAGATCAATTCTCTGCTCTCATGAAGCTTACATGCTAGCAAGTGGAAGGACTGATATAAAATAGCCAGTGTCTGAGATGCTGGCACGGGTCAAGGAGAAAACCAGAGCCAGGAAATTGGACAGGATGTGCGGGTGGGAGGGGTGTGTGTGACAGGGGTGTGATTTTAAACAATGTGGTCAGGAAGCCCTCACACTACAGCAGGAGGGTGCACAGCCCTTTAGGCCTTAACGGCTTTCATGGCTCTCTCTCTTGACCTCATGGTTATATATATACCACGAGGAAGATATTTTCCTCAGCTCGCAGGCCCTGCACAACTGAGCTCTCTTTACCCGCTTTCTGGAGTTCTCTGGCCTCACTGGCTAGGGAGACAGGAGGAGGGGGCCATTAGGAATGCACCTGCTCTCCGCTCAACACTTAGCCTTTATGTGGTATCCCTGCCACACAAGCCAGGAGGGCCCCTCAAAGGGAATGTCTCCTTGTCTAAGGCCCCAGGAGTTGTGCACCAGTCAGGCACCCTGTGTCCCTTTAGAAATGTAAATGACAGCAAATATGTGTGTCTGAGCCCCTTGTAAGCACTAGGGAAGAGGGGCTGGAGCCAGGACTGGCATGGAGATCCTGGATCATGGAAAGGTCTTGAGGCTGCATGGAGTTCCTTATTAGTCTGGTTGAGATGTGGGGAGAAGAACGTCCTATGGGACAGGAAGGCACCCTGGGGACTTTCTTCCTCCTGTGGGTCATCGCCTTTCTTCCCCCTGCTGACCTGCACAGGCACCAGCCCCCTCATCCCAGGCCCCAGGCCCCAGACTACACGAAACCCAA